TAAAAATCGAAACCGATCAAATAAATACAACATAGAATTCTGCGCATTAATTCAGTTTGGCCTGAAGGCAAACGGGAGCGGGTCAGAGGGAAAACTGCTCTGAACAGGAAGAAACATTCAACATAATTGACATTTTAATGCGCTGATAGTTGACCAGCGATAAAAACCGATTTAATATTCTGATAATTGTCGCACTCCCAGCACCAATTGGGCCAAACTTAATCGAATTGTCAGTTGACCGAACTGCGAAAATGTTTTGAGTGCTGGCCGGACAACGCTTCGTATGCGTAATATCCTGATATGACACTTGATAATTTCCTAAATAAGTGAGAGCATTACCATAAATGTTAAAGTTTTTCCGCTTAAATTAAGGAGGAAACTTTTCATATGATTTCCTAAACATTTCATCATTCATCGACTCATGGGGTATATAATTATTTTTCCCCTTTTATTTTTTGTGGCCGTTCACAGCTTGAGATCAGTCGCAACGCTCGATCACTGCCCAACGCTTCATTACATTTGATGTCATCGAAATCTTCCCCAAATTTTCGCTCTTCCCCCAAAATATATTTATTGTGACATTTTTACAAATGACGCTTGACATAATTTCAAGAGGCGTGTCCCACACTGAAGCTTAATGAAAAGTTTTCATTGAAAACTAAATTGGTTTTGGTCAACGGAAATCTTAGCTGTGAATTTGTTTATAAAACTTGTACAATAAGAATTAAGGGGATAAAACTTTAAAAATATTATTCAAGATAAGAAAAAAAACTATTTTAAGTCTTCTATTTAAATTATCTCAAAACGTCGACCAAATACCCACCCACACTCTATTAGAAATACTACTCAGAGACTGCTGTACGTGCACGATTTTCATGTCACTCTGAGATCCAACATTTGGTTGTGGCACTGAAATTGCTGAACCGAATTAGACATGGAATATCTCTCAATGCTTCGATAATCCCTCGCTGCTCCCCCCAGCGTTCCACGGGCGGTACACCTTGAGCAAATAGTGAGGAATAATGATTTCGTACGTTTTATTTGCGCCTTTTTGTAGCTCGCATTAAAATTGAAATTGAAATGCCACAGACGGACCGCAGCAGTGGGACCTGGCTAGACCCAACCCATCAGCTGTGCCGGCTCCACCCATGTTGATGATGGCAGCGTGGCCAGAAGGATAAACCAAAAACCACGTACAGTGGGCTCTGGGTCAGATGGACCACGACGAGCCCTGTCACATTTCCGGGGCGCTCAGAGCGAGGGTGTACGCTCCACGAGTGGGATTGTAAAACAAACGGAATGGCGACAAGCGCATAGTTTCATTATCCTGCGCCGGGACCGGCAGTCAGACAGCGGAACAGGCACGGAACAGGTCCTGTCGCTACATGAGGCGCATTACAAATTTCGAAATGAAACTGAAATCAAATAAAGGACAGCGTCACTCCCTCCGCACACAAACATCGGTCTGACGACAGAGTGAAACCTATATATAGTATGTAACCAGCCAAGCCAAACCAACAATTAAAAATGGCCGTCCTCCGGCAGGGGGACCCCCGCCCGAGACTGAGAAAAAATAAATAAAACAACCGAAAATTGGCAACAGCAGCAGCAAAACTGTGGAATGACAAACATGCTGCGAATTTGTAATCTGTAATATGAATTCGAATTTTAAGGATATGTACATTCTACATTCCCATGCAGACCAGCTGCGAGCTGAAACAATGCGAGGGGCAGGAGGAGCAGGCGGAGGCGGAGGCGGAGGCGGATGCAGGTGAATATGATTGCAGCTCGATTTAATTGAGTTGCCCTGGAATGCAGGGAAGGAATGGACGGATAGACAGACACACGTGCAGCAGCTCGAATCGACAAAAAATGAGGGGAAAACAATCGGAAAAAAGATTGGCAACAATCCAATCAGCTATGCTGTAATTGGCAAAATGCAAAATTGCGAATGAGCGAATACTTTTTGTCCGCAAATTGATTGAAAACTCAAAATTGGCCAAATGATGAAATGTAATGCAAATGCGGTTTCGGATCGCATTGCATGCAGTCCTTGGAAAATTAAATGCTGAGGATGGAAAAAATCATGTGTGTGCAGCCAGATTGAGTGGAAAAGAGTGACAATTTCACTTAGAAAAAAATATATATATAATTGATTCTCATCATTTTTGTCTTCCTCAATATAAACTCAATTAAAATCCACTTGATTTGTTTTTTTTTTCCGGGATACCTTATCATTCATTTGACACCTCCGATCGATCACTTTAGCAATTATATCCTTGGAAGCCTGCCAACATTTATTTTGCACATCGCCTGCCGTTTTTGCCTTTACTCTTGGCCAGTTTTCAAACTTCCTGACTGGCTGACTGATTGCTTTGTCTTATCAATGCCCTCGAACCGAATACAATTCAATTTGTTCAACTGCCACACCCACCGAGCGAGCGAGCGAGCGACGCCCCATTTGTCTCTGGCTTGTATTTTTCCTTTTTGGCCGTGTTTTACCTCTGGCTGCTTTTCGGGCGCTTCTAATCAGAATTTGTAACCAATTTTCAATGCTCGGTGCGTTTCCTTTGACGCTTACGCAATCATCCAAAAACCATTGGGTACCAGCATTGAAAAAAGCATTTGACTTGCGATTGAATCAAACAATCAATTATCCTGTCCTCTTTCGCTTTTCGCCTTTTTTCGTAATATTTTCCTCAACTTGCTCAGCTTGTGTCTTTTGTCATTTCAGCCTCTTTGTGTTTTTTACTGTCAGATGCAATTTTTATTGGCCACATTCCTGTCAAATGGCACAGTGGCAAAAGCAAAGGCACTTGGAGAGAGCCAATAACTAAATGCAAATAACTTTCCATCGAATGAGCCAATTTTCTTGAATTAGCTGATTGAGAAAATCACAAAATTGAAGTTTATTTTACGCACAAATTGTAATTGTTTGAGATATGAAAAAGCTCTAGGATATTTGGGGTATAATATTAATATTGTGAATTTCAGAGTAACCAGTAAAATTTGTATATAAAATTAATAAATAGAATTGGTAAGGAAAAGACTCGTCTAACTATCTGCGGAGAGGCAGAGTAAGAACGAGAGGAAGGTACAAGAATTTTACTTTGCAATAGCTCCCATTATGATCATCTAATTGCACTCAAATTAGTAAAAACTTTCAGCTAGCATAAAGTATTTAAAAAGCTAACATTTATAAACTATGATGTTATATCTTAGAGTTTATCATTTCAGAGGATCTGCAGACGTCCTCCTATTTATTTATTTACCTCCCAAATGCACATATCGTGGCGATTTTCTGTACAATTTGGTACCGTCCCGGAGCTTTTAGTGACCGAAACTCTTTTGCCGACCATCTTGCACGTCAACAGGAAGCCAAATATGTGCACACACCACACACCCAGCAGCAGCAGCAGCGATACAAAAACAAACATGTCCGCGGCAAAATGGCGAGCATAAATTTCCGCTCCGCCATCCGTTGCTGCTGACGTTTTATGAGCAGAGCAAGACGCGGGCTCGGCGGGACTCGGCGGGTAGCGAGTCAAAGATGGTTTATGGCGGCCAACAGTTGATTCATCGCATTTAATGGATAACGCTCAAGCACATTCAGCGGAAAAAGAATCAAATTCGCGGACGCAGCGTGCGGAGATATGGGAGTGAGCATATGCGAGTCTGCCATTTTTATGCTGAATTTATGAATTTATTTCTGCCGCACACAAGCTGCGAGAATGTGCGAAGAAGGGGTCTAATATATGTGGCAATAAATTTGCAAAGGGACATGTCTCTATGCAGATGTCCGGGCATAAATCGGTGGAGGGGAAATTCCTCGGCTCAGCTCACTCAACTCCTTCATCAATTATGATTATTTACATGTTAACCCCCCCAGCTTAAGTTTGCCGCCCCTTAAGCCCCAATTACCAGTGATTGTTTCGGGTCGGGTCTGAAATTGCAACGCCTGATCCGCAATTGTTTGGTCAGATGTCGATGGCTTATCATTTAATGAACTGCTCGCCGAGGCACAACATCAACACAATATGACTATTGTACTTATGGCCATATTCCCGTTATGTGTGTGTGTGTGTGTGTGTGTGCTCAGGCGTTGGCTTTTATTAAACTGCGCTTGTTTTTATTTAGGTCAACTTTATTATATGCACATAATTACTAAAGCCAACACAGGCCTAGCCTCCGTGTGTGCTGGCCGGAGATAAAGCATTTATGAAGACAGTCATGTGGGAAATGCGGTGCTGGCAGGACAAACAAAGTGCCACATGCCTCTCCTCTCCTCTCCTCGTTCCCCGTTCCCCTTTCCCGGCTTCCGATTCTCATTTATTTGCGCTGTTCTAATAATAAGAAATAATGTCATTTCATGTCGTATTCCTGCTCGGCCTATTGTCTATGTCCTTGCCGGCACCGGCACTGCTTCAGTTGCCTCGCCGCTCTCAAGGCCCAAGTAAAATATTTATGCGACAAAAGACAATTTTGGATTTATGCTTCTGTGTCCTATGTAGCGCTACTGTGCTCACATCCCGACCAGCAACACATCTACGTTTGTATGGGGCTGTGGCTCTAAAAGCAGCTGACTTTGGCTTTTTGTGCTTCTCGTATTTTTCCCTTTTTCGGCCGAACAGGAACTGCTCCATAAATAGCACTGCCATGTCAGGCTCTTTCGTGTGCGAATTTATGTGGCAATGGGCAGGAAATTGTGTGGGGAACGAACCCCCAATGCCTCTTTCCAAGCGGTCTGAAACTGGGACAGCAAATTAAAGTGTGCAAACTTTAATTGGAGCTCATGCTGATGGATGCGGGAGCACTTTCCCTTCCTCTTGCCAAAGTAAATTTCTGGAGTGACAAGGATTAGGTTTCGGAGACTGTGAGAGATGGTTACCATAATTCGGATGCACTGGAATATAAAAATTTGCTTTAGCTTCCATGGAAACCATTCTGATCATCGAAGACCCCTTGCTCGACATTTCAAATCACCGAAATGAACCCAGAACTCCATTCAGTCGCCAGAGTTAGGGCAGGCAACTAGCCAAATAAGATTTAAAATTTTCTAGTGCAAGAAATTCCAAAACATTCCATTCGAGGTATTCACAGATGAGTTCAAGCAAGAAAGTGGTGAGACGACGCAGTCCTGCCTATCCGGAGGATGATGAAACGCAACAGGACTATGTTCCCACGCCCAGGGAGGCGATGAGGCTAGGCAACTGCCAGGACTATCGCTTCCATCGGGCGGAGACCTACCCCTCGATCCGTCCACAAGTATCACGCTGCGATCCCAACAATGTCCAGGCCAACGCTTGGCTAGCCGACTCACTCGAGGCGGACGGATGTGGGCGATCCTTTGACGTGAAACAGGACGATCTACTGTACCTGTGGCAGCAGATACCGGATAAGCACACGTTGGGTTTCTATGGCGTCGGCTCGCCCAGACACCAGCCGGAGTCGGTGACGTTTAACCAGGTGCTGAAGGCCAGCCTGGACAAGGCTGGCGTTGACGCCAACAATCGGCGTTCTAACAGGCCCACACCACCACCGGCGCCTAAGGCGACGCCCCTTTCAGGAAATACTTTATCCAATGATATGTGTCAGCCTTTCATCCTCAACCGCCAGGCTCTGCAAACGGAGCTGCAGCAGATGCCCATGGTGCAGCGCAGGCTGAATCCCCTTACGGCCTTGGAGTCTGTCTTTTGCCCTGACCCAGTCGATCCCTTCGATCCCTCAGGCATAGCCCGGCTGGAAGAGATGAAGGTCTCCATAGCCCAAGCTCTTGACATGAAAGGACCTCCGAAACAGAAACCTCATGGATTACGACGCCATCACTGGTACTGCCCCGCGGACTGCGATGGAGAGCAGAATGCGTGCGCCCAGTACGAGTGGGCCAAGTACAAGCTTGATCCCCGGCCCTATAACGCAGAGTTTCGGCAATGGCTTCGCGACCAAAAGGAGATAAGGAGTCCTGAACCCAAGGACTACGATCAATTGTACGAAAGGTTCCTCAATTGCTTCGAGCGGAATTCCTCGCCAGATCCGCTCTTGAACACCTACAAGCTCTGCTGCGCGGCGAAGTCATGTGGAGACGATGGGAAGGCTGACGTTGGCGGTGGTTCCGGTCACGGTGGTGCTGGTGGCGATGGGGCAAGCGGCGGTGGTGGCGGAGCTGATGGTGGCCGAGGCGGAGGTGCCGGTGGCGGTACTACCGGAGGTGGTACTACCAGTGGCGGTGCTGGCGGAGGAGGAGGCGGCACTGGCGGTGCTGGCGGAGGAGGAGGCGCTGGTGGTGGCCGAGGCGGAGGTACCGGTGGCGGTACTACCGAAGGTGGTACAACCGGTGGCGGTGCTGGCGGAGGAGGAGGCGCCACTGGCGGTGCTGGCGGAGGAGGAGGAGCTGGTGGTGGCCGAGGCGGAGGTACCGGTGGCGGTGCTGGCGGAGGAGGAGGAACTGGTGGTGGCCGAGGCGGAGGTACCGGTGGCGGTGCTGGAGGAGGAGGAGGCGCCACTGGAGGTACTGGCGGAGGAGGAGGAGCTGGTGGTGGCCGAGGCGGAGGTACCGGTGGCGGCGGGGGTGCCGGTGGCGGAGCTCCAGGTGAAGGTGGAAGAGGACCTGGACGAGAAGGAAGTAATGAAACTGGATACAAGGACAAAGACAAGGATGGGAACAAGGACAAGAACAAAGACAAGGAGATTACTAAGAACAAGGATAAGAATACGGGCAAAGACATTGGTAAGGATAAGGATAAAGTCACGGAAAAAGGCAAAGGGACCGGAGATCGCAAAAATTTAGGCGAGTATGAAGGAGATGGAGATGGAGAGGCTACCGGAGGTGACGGCAAACGTAAGGACAAAAAAAATGTTAAGGATGGGAAAGAGAAGAGCGAGGAGCAGGACGAAAAGAAAATAAATAAAACCTACCCGGAGCCCGATAATAATCCACCAACAAAAATACCACAGAAGGAGAAGGAAAAGGCACGGAAGCCCCCAAAAGAGATTGCAGACATTCAGGATCCTCCAGAAATAAACCAACCAGTGATAAATAATCCTGATACTGCATTAGTAACTGGCACGGAAGGATCTAAGAATGATTTCGATAATGACGATCTCGGTCCCGTTACCGACTGGAAGGACAAGTACCCGTCTAAAAACAAAACTCCGGGAAAGGGCAAAGACAAGGAGAAGAATAAGAGCAAGGGCAAGGATAAGGGCAAAGAAAAGAACAAGGATATGTACGGTTGTGAGAAGATGTGCCATATGTGTCCGCCCGCAGGATGCCCCTGCGAGATATGTAGCTTCATGCATCGTATCCGCGCCGAGCCAGAAGCCCGATTTATCCTGGATATGAAAAGAGAGGAAAAAAGGCGTCAGCTCCGGGACTACTATCGCCAGATGTGCCACCGGGAGTACATCCGAAATAGCTGCCGGGAGGACCTTCGCACTCCGCTCCACAAGTGCGATCCTATCGACTGCGACAATAGCTTCTGCCGAAACCCACATTTCAGCCAGCACTGCGACTGTCTCGACGCCGTGCAGGATCTGCAAAAGCTCCTCGTCGGCGGCCAGGACAAAAGTTGGGATCAAAAACTCTTGCAGCAGGTCGAACACTTGCGCCGGCGCATTTCCCAGCGGATGTGCGACTGCATCCTCCCCTAATTTGCTCGGGAGCTCTATTTGGTTTTATGATTTATCTTTTGGTTTTAGCTATGAGTTTTATTTAGAACGTATTGGTATTTTATGAATTTAATAAACCATTCTATGTTTTACTAACCTAAGGAGAATAGTAACAGTTTCAGTGAAAAGCTTGTAGACAATTTCATATAACTTGTTTAAGATAAACACTCTGGCATCATGCCTCATTTTGTATTGAATACTTGATATGAAAGCCTCTTATATTAGGCTATTTGGTAGTCTCTCATAATAGCTCAAAATCCCAAGGCAAGGCGATTGTGTACATTTGGCAAAGTTGGGAATTTACAGCCACTTTATTTCCAATATCGAATTTCCCAAAAATTTTCAACAGCCGCAAACACTTGAACGTTTTCCCAGCGCTCAATTAAAGGCCATTAGCCAGGAGCCAGAAAGAGAGAGCTATCCCCGACTCCTTGCTCAAATCCGTTGCAATATGTTTGCTGTGTATGGCCAAAGGATATTCTGGAAACACGCATTGAATTACGCAGACAAAGGACTTGGGCTTTTCGGGAATTTCCCCCATATGCAGAGTTTCTCATAGTGGAAAACTCCCTGCATCCCAAGAGGGAGAGAGAGAGAGAGAGGAGCTAAAGTTTTCCCCCAGGCACATTACTTGACGAAAAATGTTCCGGTCCTCGGGCTGGGGAGTAATTAAAGTTTTGCTCAAGTGTCGATAAATTATGCGGAAGATGCTCTATGCAAATGGCTTCCAACAATACGAGCAGCTGCCAAGCGGGCCTTGACGAACTGACAGGCTGACAGACGGACGGTCGGACGGCCTGACGGAATGACGGTCTGACGGTCTAACAGACGGATGGACGGGCAGTTGGGCATTCTTTCAGCCTCCGAATGACAGGCACTTCATCATCGTGTCCTTCGGCGAGTGTGTAATTCATCACGCGAACAACCGCAGCTTCACTCCCCTTCCGCAAAAGTGACGTGACATGTTGAGCCCACAGCTTGGCCCAAAGAGGGGGGGAGGCAGTAATACCCACTCCCGAGAAGAAGGCTTTAAGTTCGCTGAGCCGCTCTCCGTGATGAGGCAAAAGGAATGCTATTAAGCAAGTTGACATTAATCGTTCTGACTTCCGAGGGGGGCTGCTGCCAAGAAGCCAGGGGAGGACCATGTGTGCTGGTGCTAATGAAGCTCTGGCAGCCAGTCGCCAGGCTGTAATGGGAAAACAATTAAGTATGTAATATGCAAATGACGGGCCCTAAAAATCTTGTCAAAATGTTCGTCATGCATATTGATAAGTTCAAGGAGGAATAAAGGTGAGCGGAGAGAGTAGAAGGGTTTCTACATGCTCCGCAATTAGAACATCCTTCTGGGTTGTCGTCGGTGAATAAATATGAGCTTGTAGATGTCGGAGCCCTTAACATTGAAGAGATTTATATATACCTAGACTGCTAGTTGTGCATGAACAGCTTTTACCAATTTGTATATAGTTTTACAAAAACTTAACTTAGTGATTTAAAATTTGTAATAATCATAATTATTTACCCAAAACTCTAGTCTTGCTCATGATGCCTTATCAAATGCATTATAAATTCCTGAATTCAAAGCACAATCCTCAATAATTGTCACATAAATATGCATATCATTAAGCAATCTTCCTGTCTCCATAAATGTCTGCCTATTTTACGAATAGGATTTGTGGCTAAACTGGCCAAAGCCAAAGCCAAATTATCCAGTCAAAGTGCCTCCCCCCAAACAGTATTTAGGCTGTTAGGTTCTAATTAATGTTCAGAATTGGAAAATTGTTGGTGCTGGTTAAATGCGAAAACGTAATGCATAATGGCTGGAGAGATCCAATAGACAGGATTACGTATACGCCACAAGGACACCTAACGTACACTCAAAAAAGCCGAAGAATGTCTCATTAGTTTGGAACTTTTCTTAGTGCTATTTTAATAATTTATTTATTTTTCAAATTAAATTAAGTTACTAAATATTATAAGAAAAAAATAAATTGCAAACTTTAAGCTTTGCCTTATTTAAGTGTATAATTAATGTTCATAACAGTACTCCTCACCACATCTGGCCTCCTGTATATTTATGTTTGCACAATTAATGAACACTAATTCTCTTGTTTATTGGTCCTCAGCCCGTTCCCTCGCTCCCCCTTACCCTCTCAACCATGCAACTTAACCAATTTCCTGTTGCTGCAGGCCAGCAAATTTCAGTTAGTTAGCGAAGATGCTGGGATCTGTTCCTTGTATTGTTTGCTGCAAGCTGCACATTAATGTTAATGCAATTATGAAAATCAAATCTTGTTTATTTGTGTGTTGATAATTCCAGGGTTTTGATTTAAGCTCCCCGAGTGCATGGCTGTCGAATAGCTCAGACATCTGTCAGTATTTAGTTTGGAATAATATCTTGTATATTAAGTAGGTAAATACACAAAGGGAACTACAATATCTCTTTTTTTATTATTTATTTAAAAACTTGAACCCTATAGGTATTTTTTATACACTTTTAAAGTTTATTTAAGTAGCCTCTCATTTTTTATTTCTGCAAATTTTACAACTTTTATCAGAGAAAAAAATCGTTTACAAGTAACTTAATTTTATTGTAATTGGCTTTTCCCGGCGCTTTTCCCAAAACTTTCCCGTGAGCTTACTCACTTAAATGGCGCTAATCATAAGAATGAAGTTGATGTTCCTTTACGAGCACTTACGCCGTATGATGGTGACGATTCGCATTAAATTCGGTCGAGACCCGCACATAAAACCATTTTATGTCCTCGCATAAACAGGTGGAGGAGCCACAAGGGAAGCGGGTGGCGGTGAAGGCCCACAGGTGACGCTCCTATTCCCGAGCCTCCACCAAAAATGCTCCCAATTTTGCGCAAATGTTCTGGCTGTTTTTATTGGGCGCGTGTCGCAGCGTCCCTTTGTTGGTCTTTAGAAGCCAACAGTTGACTCTTCAAAATGGCCAGAACATAAAAATTGTATTAAGCCATAAAGTGAAGAGCGAAGCCGAGGTGAGCGGAAATGGGAAATGAAATAAAAGCAGCTAAAATGTACATAAAACGATTTTATATGCGGCTGCCAGACAATTGAATTGACTTCTTGTACTCTTCACGAATGCGAGTCTTGATTCATCCACGAGTATTAAGCTCTATTGTTCCGGCAGTCAAAACATCATTGGATCTAAGACCATTTCATTTTCCATTGGCAAAAACGGAGCTTTAGTTAAATAGAAAAAACTATATACTCTTACTTATTTTGGCTTGTCCTTCTCTTTTGATATCTGTTGGATTTAGTTTGGAAAATGATGTATTGAATTTGAATTAAAAACATTTTGAAAATATTCTAATTAACTACTCTAATAAATCTAAATAGATTTTTTCATCTTTATCGAATCAAACGTCGAACTTTCTTTTACGTTCTCTAAAATGTCCGTAAATTAAATAAAATACACTTCATAAATCAATAAAAAAAAAGGTGTTTCCTAGTCGCATAACTAACGAACCACATTTTTCATGTTTTTTTATTCAACTCCTCACGATGTTTGTCGTTTGTGAGTTGTGTGATGTTAGCGTGAGCACTTGAGTCCGGATTCCTCCCGGCACAGAGTTCTCAGTCCGAAGTCAAGTGCGTCTGCTTCTAGCTCCTGCACTTGCCCCAAATATGATTTCAATATTTTTTTTGCTAAGAACATTTCAATTTATGTTCTTTCGGTTCTGGTTCTGGTGCCTGGCTTGGGTTGGGGCTGGGGTCTGCTCAATATGCGAGCAGTTGTCCCTTTCCAGTTTGCTCCGGCTTAGGGCAAACATAAATCGCAGAGCATATTACACAATGCTCGATGCGTGCCCGGCTCAAATGGAGCTCCTCCGCCACCGGAAGGGAGGACTCCTGGCAACTGCACCTCCAACTCCACATCCTTCCAATGCCTCGCTCTGTTTGCATTGCAAATGGCTGGAGCTGTGGTGGGGCATAGGATTGAGTAAGCATAGTTAGGGTTACGGGAACAAAGAGCAAACTTTTTACGCTACGATTGTCCTGTTGCTGCACTGGCGGGGTGCGGATGGAGGGGTAACTCTCCCCAGTTAAGGAGCCAGCTTTTGGGTAGAGATGAGTGCCAGGAGCCCTTTGAACCAAGCAGACAACGTGGCGAACGGTCGAACTATCAATATTAAAAAGCGAACGTGAATGGGATTTTTAAAATATTTATTCGCCCCTGATTAATCTGGTTCGGCTATCAATCACCGGTCTGGAAGGACTCGAAGGTTAATATTTGTTCATTTCGAGTACTTCACATATCAGTGAAGTTGAATTTGTGCTGAGCATATAGAGAGAGACAATATCAATGCCTCCACTATTTTCAAACATTTTCAAGAATATTTACATGAGGAGCAGCTTAGCCGTGAGTAATAAATATATAATAAAATTTATTCAGAGCTTGCAAATAACTGTTGACGGGGTTTTTCCTGTGCTCTCGTTGCGAGTAAAACCGAAAAAGATCATACTCTCTCGCTCTCGCTCAGAGCAAGGGAGTTTTGCTGTCTTCATTTCGTTTTTTTGTTGAACGCTTTTCGTTGAGCTCTTTTTACTTCGGCCTTTCAATCAGCCGTGCGTAAAGAGCGGGACGAGAAACGTTCGCACACAGAGAGCCAGCAAAAGACCAAGTGACCGAACAGCTCAGCGCGAACGGTCTTCACCTTTGTTTTTTTTTTTTTTTTTTATTTATTTATTTTTGTGAACAAGTGTCCATATAAAAAATACAATTAAAAAGAAAAGAAAAGTTGTAGACAATGTTGTTTTTAATTTTTTTTTTTGTATTTTTATTATTTACATTATGTGTTAAGCTTAACAACAAGTAACGAGTTTAAATTTTCCGCACCAATGGAACTTCTTCGTTCACTTAAAATAAAATGTAAGGCTGAGAATGCCCGTTCGACGGACACCTGCGTTGCAGGTGTAGCCAGTACAACCTGCGCTAGTGCACTTATATGAGGAATCCTAAGTTGCAATTCCCATTTTACAAAAATTAGTTCGCAACTTCCCGCACTCAATTCACGATCGCAACTAAACGTTTAAGGATTTGCTTGCCTATGCGTGTGAATGTATTCCAATACAT